TTTGTTTAATTATGTGTACAAACTTATAAAACTATCAAAAAAATTATTAATAATTTATTCTTTCTTTCTTTTTCTTTTTTTTTTAAATGGCCATTTTTAGGTAAAAATACGGCATTTTTTACATATATGCTAAACAAAAAGAAGAAGAAAAGTCTATTGCCTGAAACAAAAAAATTTTTAGAATTTTATTTAGAAGACTATGAACTATGTTTTGAACTATTATCTAAAAAGCAAGTGCATGAGTTAGGAATCGAAGTAGTTAAAAAAATCACATTTTTAAAAATATCCGCACTTGTCTTTGCAAAAAATCATGCATAAGAAAAGAAATTATACTTTTTCTCTTAGTCTGTAGTTCAAAACATGTGTGCTATAATCATAAACACTCATGAAAAATTGTAAGCTATTATTTTATAAACAACATGAGATATCGTGTTTAAGATGGTGTAAAATGTGTAAAAGCCTGTAAGTTTGAGATAAACTCATTTAAAGACTTAAAATCACTAGTCTAACCATTGATATTACCTTGCACAAAAACTGCTATAACTTTGTAAATAATTGGAGTATAAACAAAAGTATAGTATTTTTAGAAAGCTAAGAGTTTAGGATTTAAATATTTGTAATAAACTCAATTTCTAAAATTTTGTTCAAAATCATGTTTTTACACTAATCAGATACCTTAATACAGCAAGGATTATAAATCAATCTTTTCTTAGAATCAGTACTTTCTTATAATTTTTAACTTATATGTTAAGTTCCTTAAAGTAATTTTCTTATTAAAAATATTTCACATTGGCAGTATTTTTTTGTAAAATAAATTGTTTCTCTTGATAGCAATTATCATCGAAATCTTTTATGAGAAAATATGCCCGGTCTTTGTTGATTAAAACAATCTCTGTTATTCACTTTGATGCAATAGAAAACTCTATTTTACTCAACTTTTTAAAAAAGCTTATCTCTATTCATATATTCAATCGTATCTGGGAAGTAAAAACTGATGAAGTTTTCTTATCTAACTAGTGAGTATCAATTTAAGTATATATATATATTAGTATTTTTTTTAGATTTAAGATTTGACTTTAAGCCCATTGAATTACATTGTTATTAATGTAACAACGAGATAACGCTCAAATTATTTGTTCCGTTGTTGTTTATTGCACCAATTATATCTTTATTTTGACAACTTTTAAAGTTTTGTTAAATTTTAGAGATTATCTGATTATGTAACATATATAATAACATATTCATTTGATCATTTTTGAGCTATTATTATAACAGAAACCTATGTTAACTAAACATTTTTCATTATTATAAGCTGCACAATGTATTTTTCCTTACTTTAAAATCTCATAAAATTTTTACTGTTTCAAATATAGTCAAACCTCTTTAAAGTGCACACACTTAACATGAATTCCGCTTAACGTGAGCTAATTTCTGATTCCCCGTCAACTTGAATATGCATATAATGCTTCAAAGTACTTTTAACGTAAACTCGAATTTCATTATTCTTGAAAAAACTTTTACTTTAACGCGAACAGAAAATTTATTTCCTCTCTGACCAGTAAGAAAAGTGATTATTCACAGTTCTATATCAACAAGAGTAGGCATTTTAATGCTTTGTTAAAGTGTTGATAATTAGTTTATGTTTGGTTACGTTAGTTATAGTGTCGATTGTTAGTTTTTAAGAGTTATGTGAATTGAATATGTTGAGAGGAGGAGAGATTGCAGAAAACAAGATAAGCCCTTTTGTATTCTTAATATGACTAGAATTTTCTTTTCTTCACTGTAAAGAAGTATGTTTTCAAGAGAAATGATCACCCGTATTGATCCTTGATTGATCTGATTATTTTGTTAGTAATTGATGCAGTAAATTAATTTACTTTTTGAATTTCTTTTAATAATATTTTTTTCTTTCATTATAAGCCTATAGAATTTATAGCCATGTTTTATATTTTAAAGTACTAATAAGTTGTATTTATTATGAAAATATGTATATCAGTTGGTAATTTATATATTCATGTTGGAAGTTTATGTTTAGAAAACGCAAATAGAAATTTATAATAGAGAATGTCTACGTATTGTACGATTTTCATTAAAAAAAAATCTGAACAAATAACGTGACTTACTTTTAACGTAAACAAATTTTTGTCCCTCTTTAAATAGACCTTAACGAGATTGACAACGAGACGATTGAGATAACGAGTTAGTTAATTATTGTTACCATTGCTATACCACAAAAATATTTGTTAACTACCTAAAATGCAATGATGAAACGATATTTTTATTTGCTTTCATAAGATATAGTTGGATTAATATTTGTCCTTGCATCATTCAATTTTTATTGATTGTTATAATTGTTTTTGCATAGTTATAATTTTTATTTGTTGTTAACTAAATTTAAAAGTGGATTGTGGCATGAATAAATAAATAATACAACTTAAAAAGTCTGGATTTTTTTTATTACTCTAGTTGAAGATAAACAGAAATAGAAAATAAAATTATCGCAATTTATCTTAAATATCTTAATATACCTTATACTTAATAACTTAAAAATTATATAGTATTTGTTAGTATTTTAAAAATTATGGTTAATTTGAATTTTGGATTATTCAGATTTTTCCTTATTTTGGTTTTAAAAAAATTCTCTACATTAATTTTTTTTTTCTCATTTGTAATTTTCGATTGTTATGTGTTAGTAAAAATATTCCTGATTCCAAGAATTTATTGTCCATTTTGATCATTTTACAAATCTTTCTCTTTTTTTAAAAAGAAAGAGATTAATGTTATTGTTCTTTATTGTCTATTGTTCTAAAAGATTGTATATTAAATGTGTTACATGTTGATATCTTTAACACAGTTAGTATTTATATTCCTTTTAATGCAGTAATTGTTCATGTAAAACGAATTATCAATATTTTTAATCTTATTAACTAGTGGTCTTGAAAAAAAAGTGAACCATACTTGCATAAAAGTATTACTCAACATATGCCTAAGGAATCAAGTATCTGAATCTTACCTTGCACAAATTTTACATGGAGTGGAATACTTAAACTGTAAGTGCTATACAGAACTTATTTTTTATACAATCCGTTGAAGATTATTTTATTAAATGTCCTGGCGATTATTCATTTAACATTTTTCTTCTGTAAGGATTTATAAAATTTTTCATTTTTATTTATTTTGTTTATTATACTTATCTCTACATAACATAAAGAGATAACGGTCTGAAGCACTTTCTCTCAGTTGTTAGAGCATTCTTATTGGCCATAAAAACCATATGATTTTATCATTAATTAACATAGGAGATCTAGAAATCTTTGGTTATTATCAGCTTAAAATCAATAAAACTGTTAACTGTATTTACCAGTAATTTTATTTATTTTGCTCTGTCATTATGTTTTTACTTTCGATTATTTTTCAAAATTAAAGGCTTATTTTTTCAAAACTAGAAGTAGTTTTTTTTGTTTTGTTTAATATTTTAAAGTAATTTTATGATATTATCTAATTAAACAACATTTATTGCTAAAGATATTTCGTTAATATTTTATAATTAATTTACAATAAATTTTTATATTTACTTTTTATGCTATTTCTCAATAATCTCGTTGGAAAAAAATATTAAACAATTTTTTGTACGAAATATAAATTGAATAAGAATTTCAAAAAAAATTTATGAAGTCACATTTGTAACTTAACAAAATTATTACATTTACAGTTTCATCCCAATGGAACTCAAAGCTAAATGTGTGAAATCAAATCTGTGTTAATGAAAGAAAACATTTTGGGGATATTTCATTTGATTACTTTTTAATTTTGAAGTTATAGTCTGTTTAAAATTTAAAAAAATAGAGAATAAAATGGATTAGTAAATTAAACAAACAAGGTAATGAAGCCTCTTTATATTATACAATTTAATTAAGAGAATACAATTTTGCAACAATTAAGGATTCTCTTTCTTATTGTTTAAAGCTTAATGAGAGAAGATACATACTTATGTTCTATAAGAGCGTTATATGTGTATGTATGGAACATATTTCAGAATATCAGGTATTAATTTGCACACACATAAATTTTTTTTCTATTAGGTTATTAAATTGATTTCAAAAACAGCCTAAGGCTGTTGCTATAATTCTTAAAAGTGGTGTTCCTAAATTCACAAAATTCTCACTTAGAAACTTCTTTTAAGTTCTTCAATTAATTTATGCTCTCTCCAATTTCTTTTAAAATGGAAAATATATTTATAAAAAAATATTTTCTTAGTTTTATATTAGATTTGTGAAGAAAGTTTTTCATAATCTACTTCTTACCTTGTTTTCAACTTCTGTCATTTTTTTTTTTTTTTTGTATAATTGTTTTAAATGAATAAATCTTTTATTACTGTGATGGTATTTACTTACTTATTCCTTTTTATAGGGTACTCCTCAAATAACACCTTTAGTACATATTTTTGTAGAATCCTTGAAATGAGGTTAAAAAAAGTGTACATATTGGAGTTGAAAATTATTATTTAAATGAGTAAAAATCAAACCATAATCAAAATATGACAAATCAGTATTAAGGAAGATTGAATATTAAAACTTGTTTGATTGCAGGATTAAAGTTTCCTATAATCATCCTCCCTGTTTGTTCCTCTAATCAAGTTTTGAACAATTGCCTTTCTCGTCTGTGATTTTCATGCCTTGTTTTTTTTTTTCTGACTGAAATATTAATTTGTGACCCCTACTGTGTATGCTCTTTCCCCCCTAAGGATTCTAAACTTAAGGGCAGTCTTTATTAAACACCCTGAATAAATATTATTAATAATTTGTTTTTATTTATTTTATAGATCAATGAGGCTTTCAATAACTTTTTCCTTTCATTTTCTCTATATTTATTTACACATTACAGTTATATCAAAATTAAGTTACTGTATAAAAACCTTAATTTTGAATTGTAAATTATGAAAGGAAACTTATAGCTCATAACATTTAAGTAACATATCTCATAACATAAACATTTTCCAGACCCTCTTCAAGATTGTGTTGCAGTTTTATCTGAAAAATATGACTGTCATGATGATTCAGTTAACTCATTAAACCTGAATACATCACAAATAACATTTTTATCTTTATGTTATATTGGATTTTTACATAATGAAAAGTAAGTTTCATTATTCTTACAATACATTAAGTTCTAATTAATTTATTATAAGGAAAATTTATGTAAAATTATTTCAGAATACAATGTATGCAAGCATTTTGGAGACATTTTATAACAGGCCATACATAAATGTTTTTATGTTCTTATATCGAACATTTTAATTTTGCAACTATTTTATTTAACACTGATAATTGTTTATAGTACATAATTTTCATATTTCATAAAATTACTTTGCTTTCATTTTGCAACAGTTATAAAACACTACATTTAAGTTTATTTTTCTTCATTAGTACATTTTTAATAATGCTATTACACTGTCCTGTTGCATTTATTTATGTTTCTGTTCTTAATTATGAACTCTGTTCTTAACTATTAATTGAGAAAAGAGTAATTTCATAAGTTATAAAATACAATATTTTCAGAGGGGATTTAATAGTGATAAATTAAAAATTTCTGTTCATTTACTTTTTGTTTTCTGATTATTAATAATATTTTTAAATGCAAAAACTAGGATATAGTTGATTTTTACCCTCTGGCTGTTTTTGATATTTTTTCCGCAAAGAAAAACAGTTCTCTGAATTTAATTATGTTGAAAAATTGTGTTTGGGGGGGGGGAATTTATCGAAATTTACATTTTAACATGTTCATGAACGAGTTAAAAAAGAAAAGAAAAAAGTAATTGATCAAATTAAGTTTATTCAGAAAAAAAATTTATAAAAATTGGCAGACTGGTTGCACTTGTAAACAGGGATGACCTCTAATTGAGGCAGTGAATGCTTAACTTGACCAGTTCATTATTTTTTTATTATTATTATTATAATTTATGAACTGTAAAATAAACAACTGAAAGCTAACTCCCACTGTCCCAAATAACTAACATACTCTCTACAAATATATAGTTTAATATATAAGTTCGTTTCTATAATCAATATCTCAGATTTTTAGTGATTTTTTAAATTTTTGTGTAGCATAACTTCAAAAAAATATAACTAAATCACTTAAATTTCAATTTTTGTTGATGAAGAAGCATGTTTTTAACTTATATGTGGTACATTAAATTCCAAACTAAAATTGCAATCATAATTTTTAAATACTTTTAAAAAATGTTTAAATTGCTCCATATAACATCAAATTGTTATAGTAAAGTTTTCCTTTCAAAATTTATTTAAGTTTTTGCAGTTTGAGTGTGAACATCTTCAAATGAATCTGTTTTACAAGTTCTATTTTTTAATACTTTAACTTATGTTATAGCTTAACATTTTTTTTCCTTATTTTTTTATTATTATCTTATTACCTTTCTTACATTATTTGTGCCACTAATACTTTTCTTCAGCACCTTATTCTTTCTGTTGCTGCTCTTGCTTTTTAGGATTGTTGAAAGTCAATTCCTCATACCCCACCTTATCTACTATATAACATGCAACTCTGAAAACTTTCTTTCTTCACCTTCTCTCATTAAGCATGTCTGCTTTAGTTTGGCTGTATGTAATTTACCCTTTTTTTATTCCTTACAATTACAATTCCTCTTTTTTGCACGTTTTGTATTAAATTAGTATTTACTTTAGTTTCTGAATTTTGTCTAAGAATCAAATTGATTTTATGTAGATTTTATCTGTTCCCGTTTTAAGAAATTTCCTAAAAATAATTTCGCCTGACACATTTCTGTTTTTTAATTTCTTGCACATACAATTATTCACACTCATACAGTATTACTCTTATCAGCACACAGCTGATTTCGTAAAAAAGTTTTTTCTTTAAAAAAAAAAAAAAGCAAGGAATATTTTTTTAAATTTTCCTTCTTAATGTTCTAATGTTACTTAACACTACTGATAGTATTTTTTTAAAGCTATGTGAGTTTCTCTCATTTTATTTGTGAATATAAGCCTAGTGACTTCCTTTGCTTATTATTTAAGATATACCTTTCTTTTTTTCTTTAATGCATTATTTTTCTTTTTATATTATAATCAAGCTGTGTTTTATCTTTGTATATATCTGTTATTAAAATCTTTAACTTCTTTTAAATTATTTTTAGTGTTGTATGTATGAAAACATTGCTAAATTTGAATCTGGACTGAATGAAGGTTTGTAGTAGTTCTTGTTAATTATAAGTATGTATATATAAAATAAAAGTAAAAGTATGTGTTAAATTTAGATATATGCCATCGTGTGTACTTTTTGAGAAACATTTTTTAAAAGCACTAACTGTAAGCAAATATTTTTAAAATTCTCTCAGTAGATATAGCATTAAATGAATATCAGATCTTTTATATGCTTAAATTAATTATCTATACTTCATTTTAAATACTTCATCATGAAACCAAGAATTAAATATAAAATCATAAATTTTGTTGTCACTATCACTTTAAATATAAAAATAAAGTATTTCTCAACAAGTGGATAAAGTTGGCAGCTAAAAATTATAAAATTTAATTATTGATACATAAATAATAGTTTAATTTTAATGCTAAAGTACAAAAATTATTACTATGTTATGTTTGTTTAAAATGCATATTTTTTCATAATAAAATAAGTCAAACATTTTTGGATGTTTCCCTAACCAAATCATTTTCTGTTTTAATGTTATACAGAGAACTTGTAAGATAATTAAATTTTATTTAATTATCTTAAATCATAAAAATTTTATTTAAAAAGCTTTTCACTTGATTAGTAATGTTACAGGAATCACATAAAGTTAGAATTATTATCAGAAAAATTAATAAGAAATCCATATATGTTTCCTAACACTTAATTTTTGCTTCATTTTGGAAATATTTTTATTTATTTATAGTATCTCAAAACTTTATAAAATAATTATATTAGAATTTCTATAAGCTTATTTTGTTAGCAGAAGTAAATTTTTCTCTTCTATAATTATATTCCTAATTGTTTCATTGCAGAAACTTAGATTAAAGTAGCTCCAATTGGGGAATTATCTGTAGCTTTTATCATCAATTTTACTAAATAAAAAAAAGTGGGAGAAAATATTAAACATAATTGGAGAAAATGAAATAAACATTCTACCAAAAGTATAGTAGCTTTGTAAAAGTTTAAACTGTTATGCACTTTTATCTCTGATTTGAAAGCTTATCAGATGGTAAACCAAAAGTTTAAAATAGATGTTTCTGATTACATCATGCAAGGCCTCTTCATAAAGAGTGTAATGATGATATAACTTATGTAAAACTTCATGTCTTATAGTATTTTTAAAATAGAATAATTACAACTGTTATAGATCAAATTAAAGCAGATCAAATTAAAATAAGTTGTCAAAATACCAATGCAAAATTATAAAATTTTCTTAGAAGTCATAAGAAAATTAATTTTTTTCAAGATTTAGTAATATTAAACTTATAGCTTAATGCATAGCTTTAAAAAATATCTTAAAATAACAGATAATACTTAAAAAAAAGGTCATTTTTATGTGGCACCCAGTTTTAAATAAAGTAAAAGAGCAACATATTTGAGTACAAATAATATAATTAAGAGAGACATAAACATTTTGATTTTATAAAAAGTACCATGATCAGTAATGAAGCACAAAAATGAAGGGAAGGAAAAAGTTATCTTATCATCTCTGTCATTCTGTGTCTTCTATGTTGTGTTATTCTATGTTACTGTTGTAATCCTAAAACGAAATATATCTGTGGCCCTAGCTAGATCTTGGGTAGTTTAAAATGAGGAAAAGCTTAGTGCCAAATATTTTATTAATATACATATAGTACACGGACAAACAAACATAAGTTTAATTAATTAAGAAAAGGAGAAAAAAAGAAGGCGGTCCATTCGGTTCGAAACCTGAGCATCCACTGCCTTGCATGTGGTGGCGCTGTTGTAGCTTAGCGATGCGGTTGCTACATATCTATTTTAACTTCAATATTTGTGCACTTGCACGTTTTTGTTCTAGTTTATTTTCGAAATCCAAAAACCCATAACACATTACCCAGCAAAAGCTTATTAGATTTTAGACATTGACTATATTTATTAATTTATGAATGTAAAAATAAAATTATTTTATGCATTTGTAAAAAATTATTCAATTTATAATATTTTATTTTAGATTGCTTCTTATTCTATTTTAGGTCTAGCTTTTTATGTATAACATTTATATAAAGGTACTTTTAATTTTGTGATGCAAAAATAAATGATAAATTATATCTTTGCTGCCTTGTTAAAATTGTTTTTGGAAATATTATTCAGTTTTAAGAAAGTTGATGTGATTTTATTATTTATATCTCTTATCTATTGATGAGTAATTTAATTGACAATTAGCTATATATAAATATAAATATTTAATGCAACCAGTGATTAATATTCATAATTTTTTTCTAGTTAATGGATTATTGTGGGAGCAAATTTCTAAAATTCCTCATTCGTTAGAAATTTATACTCATCATAAAATCATGCTGTGGTGGTGTTTCAAAAATCAACCTTTAAATGAACTAAGTATTTATACGGTAAGAATTAAAAAAATTATTGCTCTTATTTTAGTTAATAAGACTTATTTTCAGTTTCTTAATTGATAAAAAGGATATAACTTACTTCTATTCTCCCAAACTTTTAACTCATAATATGGGAGATGATTCTTTTTATTTTTTAGGAAGACTCTTTAAATTGTGTGCTATCTCCCAAGCTCCTAAAAAATGCACATATCACTCCATTTTTTTTTTTCTTAAAACAATGGAAATGTTCTTTATTTTGCTAAAGATAAAATATTTCATGAAAAAACATTCTCTTCTTTTGATGAAATTCACAATTTTATTTACCAATAATTCTTAAATTTTTTAAAATTCCTAAAACAAATTTTGCATTAAAAATGTTAAGTCAAGAAGGAACCATTTCATATAAGAACAAATTTTTTTAAAAAAATATTTTACTCATTGTTAATTTGTTTCTGAAACAAATTCTTGTTTTATGTTAAATATTTCTTTGTTTATCTAGTCTCTCATTTTTATTTCAAAATGAGCAGTTACGTAATATTAGTAATGCATAATCATGTGATTTAAATAATTTTTTAAAATAAGTTTTATATTCTCAGGGTCAGTATACATTTAAAGTATGCTTTATTAAATCATTAATTATGAAGTCAGTTTGGAAATTGAATAACCAATTTAGTTTGTAACAGACCAATAAAAAATTAAACTTAAAGAAGTTAAATTATGAATTGTAGTGTACTTAATGATTTATTTATAATTGAGAAATGTAACTGAAAATTAAAAGCTAATTTTTTTTGAAAAAAAAAAAGAAGAGAAGGAAGACACTATGAAGTGTGGCATAACGAGAATAAGTTCCATCTTTTTTGAGTAAAGAATTTTTTTTTTTTTAAATTCCTATTTTTCAATTTAAATTGCAGTAATAGGTTACAAATAATGCAAAAAAGAAAAAGCTTATTTTCCAAACAGCTGATAAAACATATTTAACACTTTACTCTGTATTTCTAAACTAAAACATTGTATTACGAATGAATAAAAAAAACTGCCTGAAATTTATTGTAAATTGAAAACATCATATAATACTGAGTTTCAGGGTTGTTTTATTTTAAATATTATTATTAATAGTAAGTGTTATTCTAAAATGTGGCTGGAATATAAAGGTTAAATGTGAAAATGTGAAGCAAAAAAAACTTCATTTAGGCATCAATTATGTATTTATCATATGCTCATACCAAATGAAGTCATTTTATGTGGACTTCATTTCAGAACTATTTGATTGCTTCATTAGAAATATTTAGATTAGAAATAGCTAAAAGTTGTATGCATCACTGATTTTTAAAAAGTTTTGAACTTTTATTATATGTTATCAGATTTTTACGTACCTAAGATAACTAATGATTTTAAATCATAGTATCATTTTTTAGTCAATCAAACATTTATTTTCTCTCTCTCTCTAATAAAGAGGAAAAGTTATTAAAATAAAATATTTTTATAAATATTCAAAAAATTGGATAAATTAGTACAATATCAGAAAGCTCCCCTTTTTGTGGATATAATCGTGTGAGCTGATGACGAGATTATATCTTTTCATTATTATGTTTTCTGGCTTTTTAATTTTATTTTTTTGAAATAGTTTTTTTAGAATATTTTGTTTTAATAATTTTCTTCTCTTTTCATTAATCTTTATTATATTATTTTCCATGTCTTCTCAATATTTTAACTTATGTATATACATGTAATCAAAGTATGAAATTGATTTAAACAAATTTTAAGCTAAAAACTATAAGTCAAAAAATAATTAGTCAGAATGGAAACATGCTAAAACAAATTTTCATTATGAAAACAATTTAAATAAAAAGTTAGAAACCAAAAACAAGCAAAACAACACTTTATCAATGAACACACTGCCTGCAAAAGCAATATTGCCTTAACACATTCTTACTTTTTTGCAGCTTCAGACTTGGTTGGATTTTAGTGTTCTCCATGAAAATGCAATGCTTTCCTCTCTCTCAATGAAAACAGTTCTGCAACTTTTGTGCTTCAATGATACAGCTCGAGAATGTTTCATGGTAATTAGACTTTTAATTTAATGATAAGTTTTCTTAATTATGTTTTAACATTCTGTCGTTATTATTATTTAGAAGGCTCAATTTAAATGTGTCCATTTTAAGTGCCTTAAATATACATTTATTTTTATTCTTTTTTTGCAGAGTAAAATAAAATGTAAGCTTTGAATGTAAGCTTTGTAATATACCAAAGGAATGTGGGCTTCACAATAAATATAATATTTTTAAGTATAACTTTAATAATATTCCTGTTCATTTTTTAAAATATTTTTATGGAAATTCAAATAATTTATTAGAAAATTTTATTTTTGAAGTATTTACCTAATCATTAATTTATTATTTTCTTTTTGATTTATCATTCTTTCATTGACTGAGATTTGCTCTGCCGAACATAATGTATTTCTGTCAAAAAAAGTTTTATTTTCTTTAAAATTTTAAGTTTACTTGAATTTTTATTTTTGGAACACATTTATGTTATATTTTGTTTCTTGCGTCAAAAAAAAAAAAGTTTATTACAGAATTCTTTGAAAGTTACTATATAGATTTTGCATAATGTTAACTATGTTTTGAACTAAGAGCGGAGGTCTAATCGTGAATTTATTATTTATCATGTTTTAAGTTATAATGTTTTGAATTTTTCTTTAAAAAATCAATATTAAACAATAAATTTAATCCTATTTTGTATTTTTTAAAGATTTTAGCTCAAATCGAAAGTAAACATATTTATTTAAAAAAAAATAATTTTTTTTTCGATATTTATGCATTACAATTCTCTGTAGAGCTGTTAGCATAACATGAAAAATGTAAGATTATAATTTATAACCTCTGCTCATAAAAAAATAAAAGGCTTGATTAAGGCTGTCTTTGAAAAAAATATTTTTTCGAACCCAGTTTGATACGTTAAGCAAAGATAATCGTTTATCATAATTGTAAAAGCAATGTTTGCATTTTGCCTGTAATGCTAACAAAATCTAGAAAATAAAACTGTGGCAAATTTTTGGCTATAATTTGTTCAAAATATAAAATTTCTATATATTTACGATCTCTTAACTTGTAATTTGCAAGTTCTTTTTAAAGTTAAAATTTATGTTTTCACGTAAAATTTTATACATTAGCTTTGTACAACATTTGTCTATTATAAATGTCTAGCTAAACTTTTACGTTTTTTACAACTTGTGATGCTTAGTTGTTCTTCAAATTTAGGTGAAGTTTTTGATCAGGCTGCATTGGATTATGTATTAAAAAATTTATTTTTTTCCTACTTTTATTTATGATTGTATAATTTATTACTTCTGTTTTATATTTTTAGAGACAATTCAATGTTAAACCTGAAGCTAGTTTTTCCTTTTTGAAAAAAGCTCTTCAGCTAGAGGTAATAATAAAATGAAAAAAATTGTTATGAAATTTCTTTAGAATATACATGTTTTTTTATGCGAGTACAGTAATTACGTGCACACAGAATGACGTTGCTCACGTAATCTGAAGGGAAAAAAACGATACCTGTTGCCATTCTACGACTAAAATTTAATTCTGTTAATTCAATGTGTTCAGCAGAGTAACAGACCACTCCGATTAGATATATTATTAGATATAGATTTTTATATTGATCTATATTAGCCATTCAATAGCATTTAATATTCTAATTCATTACACTCCAATAGCACTTTCAATGCAATTGATGGAATATCCAGGAATAAGTTTAATCTTTTTTTATAAAGGAATTATTTTATTATTTTTCTGCCTATATTTCCAAAAGTATATTCATCATTCTTTTAAGTTTATTAAGTGGGTTAGTTTGTTTACTTGTTGTTGTTCGTAAAAAAAATTCTCAAAATGCTTGAAGTATTTATGAAAAATGTGATTCCCTTTAGGTAAAAGAAATTGATATAAGTACTGAGAAATTTGAAGAATTTATAAGTTTTATTATGCAGCATCTGGCAACTTCTATTACAAAGCTCTTAGTTGTGAAAAACAAGTCGGAAAGAAAATCTTATGGTAAAACTTTTGTTTTTGAAGCTAGTCAAAACTTACACTTTTTGATATGATAAAGTTAAATATAGTAATGATTATTTGTTAAACATATTTTGGAAAGAAATCTATCTAAAATAATGCTTTTAAACATTATAAAGCTGAATAAGCTCTGAAATGAAACTTTTGATTATGATAAAAGTGTGACCATAATATTAACTTTATTAATAAATTATAAGTGTCTTTAAAATATAATTAAAAATCAAACTAAGTACTTCTTACTGTTGTAAATATATTTTGATTGCAATTAATAAAACGAAATTCAGGTAGTATCTTAAAATTTTTAAATGCATTAAATAAATTCAAAAAACATTGATATACTCTTTAGTGTTTTAGTAAAACGAAATGAAATGTATATAAAAGTGTTATGTAGAATTTGATATACAGCTTCAGAACTTTTTCTTACTTAACTATTTCCAAAATCATAAACTCGGAAGCATGGAATTAAGTTTCTCTTAAAAATGTTACATGCAGTATTATAAATTACTGTTAAGGTATTTATATTTATTGTAATGCTTAACGTGGTTGTATAAAATATAAATGTTAAGAGTGAAAATTTCTGAAAATTCAAATAATTTTATTGGATAATTTGACTTTTGCCGCACACATACGTCACAGCCCGTTGATAGGGCAGACCCATTCATACGTTCATCTACAGATCATAATTTTGACCTGAACCAGAGAACAATCAATCTCCAGTTCAGTACCCCTAGAGGTATGATTTGTTATGGCAACATGGGGGACTTTGTGACCCGGCAGATTTATTGTGCCCCAATCACCTTTTCAGTGGCGTAGCTACCTAGGGGCTAGGCGGGGCAGTGCCCCGGGGCCCTCAAGCTCAGGGGGCCCTCGAATCCTTACCAGAAATCTCGATCGAACTGAGCTTTTGGAAATTTCTCCCATTTTCAAAATAAATATGACAGGTTGCAATCCCACTTTAATCATGACAACTCAGTTGAGAAAAATTCAAAAGTTATGCTTAGGGAATTCCCCTAAATTCTTTCTGTAGGTTGGCAGTGTTGTCAATTTGACGGATAGTGATTTGTGAGTTTTATTATTCATCGATGTGCGTTTTATTGTGAATTTGAGTTAAGATTTTTCTTTCCAGAACGGTTAAAAAATTAATGCTGTATCAGGAGTAAGTAAGCTAATGTCAATAAACTTTTTTGTACTGGTCAATATAGTGGTTCAATTTTATTTGATTTTACCACTCATATTGATGTCCGTTAAGTCAATAAATCGTGTCAAATCTATAGATTTCGGCTACAGCTCATTGTATAACGCGAAATATCGTGAAAAAATGCAAGTCACCTGCAGTAGGTACATTAATTCAGGTCCGCGGGCAGGAGATCGTTCATGGTCTCTGTAATGCCTTTCCTTTCCAATAAATAAGCAGACCAGATTTTTAAAACAATAAAACTTAACTTTATTTAAAAACAAAAGAAATAGGCATTGTTTTCCAGTAAGAGCTTCCAGCTCTTAGAATACCAAGGGAGACCCTCTCCCGATTATATCAAACATACATCTACCTTTCTCTCTCTCGCATCCCTCCGACGGGATGACAAAATGCGCCAAGTGCGCCTTAAAAGGTCGCCAAACAGTTGCCAACCATTACAGTCTCCACCGTTAAATGTGGTAACACTAACGGTGATAATATTTTTTTCCGGGGATTCCCCGATGACACTTGTAGCGTATCAATGTGTTTCTCTTTCCTTTCATTTTACTTTTAACGTCGTCAGTGAACAGTGAATACCTACCTACTCGAGCACAATCCAATATTGTATTGCTTAAATAAATTAGAAAACTAAAATTATGGATAAGAAGAAGAAACCCAGTGGTGGATTTAAACGCAAACAACGCCAAGAAAGAGAAGATAGTAAATAAAAATTGCCCAAAATTGACAGGTGTTTTAGTCAGCCTTCAGCAAGTACATCTGGCCAAAATATTTCTATTGATAGTGACTCAAATAATGTGGTAACTGCAGTGTTGTTTGAGAAGCCTACTGAAGAAGATTCGACAATTATTGCAGTTGGAGATACCTCCCCCGCCGATCATGTGAACGTGGATGATGTTTCCATGACACACATAAGAGCGGAGGGTTTGGAGGAATCACAGACCTCTACATTTTTCGAAAATGTGTACGACAAATCTTCTTATGACTTGGGAAATGACTTTATGATGGTTAATGACTTCTTATGACTTTACAGTCTTCAGGACCTTTTCCAACAGACATCAACCAGAAAAATAGGTGTTTTTCAAAATCGTACTACGTTTCGTGTTCTAAATATGGGCCGGTTAATCGTTTTTGGTTGTGTTATTCCAAAATACTAGACACTGCCTATTGTCAACCCTGCTGGTTATTTGCTTCACAAAAGAATAATGTTTGGTGTACGGGAATTCAAGATTGGAAGCATTTATCAAAAAGAATTAAACAACACAGTTGTTCGAGTGGCCATTCGGAAGCATATGCTGTGTATGAATTTTGGAAGAAAAAAAAGCGATACTAATACTATCGACAAAGAACTTGAAAATGAAATTCGCAAAGAAGCATCATTTTGGAAAATGGTTCTTCAAAGGTTATTCCATACTTACCCTAGCAAAGAGTTCTTTGGCTTTGAGAGGACATCAAGAAGACTTAAGTCAGAAAGGATACCACGGAAATTTTCTGTCCTTTGTATAGCTTGTTACCCGATATGATCACATTTTGCGGAAAGTTTTGGATATGCCCAAAGGTAATAATAATTATTTCTAAGTTTTTTTTATCGTTTTATTTTGTTTATAATTATGAACTGTTTAATATCAGGACTTTTTTGAAATTGTGTTTTTTTTTTAAATGTTTTTAGGATCTACAAGATATCTGAGTGCAACAATTCAAAATGAAATGATTGAGAGCTTGGGGACTAAACTCGAAACCCATCTACTAGAACAAATTAGAGGGTCACCGTTTTTTGCCATCATAATGGATACGACACAGGACATATCGAAGGTAGATCAGCTGAGCATTGTTGTGAGGTATGCAGTAATAACCAGATCGGAAAATGGACAGCCAATTGATATAGAAGTAAAAGAAGTGTTTCTAGGCTTTTATGCAGCCATCAAACATGGCGCAGTAGATTTAGTCAACCAAGTGACATTATTTATCGACAAAAATATTGATTTAAAAAAATGTGTGGGGCAAGGCTATGATGGAGCCAGTGTTATGAGTGGTGTGTATAATGGTATACAAAAACATATTAAGGATATCCAGCCTAACGCAGAGGACATACATTGTGCCACTCATAACTTAAATTTGGGGATAAATGATGCCGTTAGCAGTTGTGTAGAAATACAGATTTTTTCGCAACGTTGCAAGATTTGTATAACTTTTTCGGAAACAGCATCAAACGTTGGGATCTACTGTCAAAATTCACTGGCGAATCGGACACCACTCTAAAAAAACTAAATCCGACTAGATGGTCCAGTAGGGTCAATACGATATCTGCAATAAAACTTCGTTATTTTGATATTATCAAAGCATTATCAGAAATAGTTCTAAAGAGTCCTAATAAAGATGAGCGTAGTGAAGCAGAGAGTATTAAAACAANGACGTCACTCGATAACGACATGTGACGTCATTGCATTCAACTCCACACGAAAGAAGAGGAAGATTTCACCCGCCCCCAGTGTAAGGGGGCGGGTGAAATAGGAGTGTTTTTAGAGGTAACGTTGAAGAGGGGGGAAAATAAAGCATGTTCAGCTACGCTTCAGGCAGATGGTAGTTTGATAAGAGGGGATGGAATTCAAGCTGAAAGAAAAACTTACCTTCGCACTCGCGGAAAAATTAGGTAATTTTGAGTTTGGCCGTCGATCGCAGTAAAATTCGGGAGTTTTTCAAATCAATTCCGGAGGGCGGGAGAATAACTCAAAATTCGGGAGACTCCCGCAAAATGCGGGAGAGTTGGCACGTCTGCAGCCTTAAAGTTTTTTGTTGTTGGTACATATTTAGAAATAAAATCTTTCTTTCTCAACACAGTGTAAGCGAAATTATATGCATTTTTAATAAACTAAATTATGTGGAAATTTAATTTATGAGCTAAATTTGTTTAAAAAATTAATTACTTTGAATAACTAATAACTTGAATAACTAATAACTGAACTAATTTTGAATTTTTAAATAAATTAAACTATAAGGTCCATTCTAGTAAGCAGTATTAACTTAGTAACTGTAAACAAATAGGAATAAAAATACCTAAACTTTAAGGTCATCTTATGGACTTACTTTTTCCACAAACCATGTTTTAAGGCATTTGATTGGGTGAAAATCAACAATTTTGTAGACTGAGAATGACACTGTGGGTGTTTAATTAAAAGACCAGCAGAAAAAAATTTAAGCAATAAAAGTAGTAAATCTTTTAATAAGTACTCTGCAAGAATAAGTGTTATGATTTCTAATTATTTTATTCATTTAAAATAAATTAAAAGTAAAATTATAATTTTAGAACCTCTGCTTACAGAAAATAAAAGGCTGACAAAAAATAAAAGGCTCCATTAAGGCTGTTTTTGAAAAAAATATGGTGTCAAACCCAGTTTGATATGTTAATCAAAGATAATTATTTATCAAAATTGTACAAGGAGTGTTTGCATTTTACCTGCAATGCTAACAAAATCTAGAAAATAAAACTGAGGCAAATTTTTTGCTATAATTTGTTCAAAATATAAAATTTTTATATATTTAATATCTGTTAATATATTTACAATCTGTTACAAGTTCCTTTTAAAGTTAAAATTTATGTTTACATGTAAAATTTTATACATTAGCTTTATATAACATTTGTCTATTATAAATGTCCAGCTAAACTTTCACTTTTTTTACAACTTGTGATGCTTAGTTGTTCATAAATATAAAAATTTAGGTGAAGTTTTTGATCAGGTTACATTGGATTATGTATTTAAAAAAAAAAAAAAATTCTACTTTTATTTATGATTGTATAATTAATTACTTCTGTTTTGTATTTTTAGAGACAATTCAATATTAAACCTGAAGCTAGTTTTTCGTTTTTGAAAAAAGCTCTTCAGCTAGAGGTAATAATAAAATTTAATGAAATTTCTTTAGAATGTACATGTCTTTTTATGCGAGTTCAGTAATTACATGCACACAGAATTACGTTATTCACATAATCTGAAAAAGAAACGATACCTGTTGCCATCCTATGACTGAAATTTAATTCTGTTAATTCAATATGTTCAGCAGAGTAACATACCACTCCAATTAGATATATTATTAGATATAGATTTTTATGTTGATCTATATTAGCCATTCAATAGCATTTAATATTCTAATTCATTAAACTCCAATAGCACTTTCAATGCAATTGATGAATATCCAGGAATAAGTTTAATCTTTTTTTATAAAGGAATTATTTTATTATTTTTCTGCCTATATTTCCAAAAGTATATTCATCATTCTTTTAAGTTTATTAAGTGGGTTAGTTTGTTTACTTGTTGTTGTTCGTAAAAAAAATTCTCAAAATGCTTGAAGTATTTATGAAAAATGTGATTCCCTTTAGGTAAAAGAAATTGATATAAGTACTGAGAAATTTGAAGAATTTATAACTTTTATTATGCAGCACCTAGCAACTTCTATTACAAAGCTCTTAGTTGTGAAAAACAAGTCGGAAAGAAAATCTTATGGTAAAACTTTTGTTTTTGAAACTAGTTCATATGATAAAGTTAAATATAGTAATGTTTATTTGTTAAACATATTTTGGAAAGAAATCTATCTAAAATAATGCTTTTAAACATGATAAAGCTGAATAAGCTCTGAAATGAAGCTTTTGATTCTGATAAAAGTGTGAGATATGAAATTTATTAATAAATTATAAATATAATTAAAAATCAAACTAAGTGCTTCTTACTATTTTAAATATATTTTGATTGCAGTTAAAAGAAACGAAATTCAGGTAGTATCTTAAAAATTTTAGATGCATTAAATAAATTCAAAAAACATTGATATACTCTTTAGTGTTTCAGTAAAGCAATATAAAATTTATTTGTAGAAACTCTGAACGAAATAATTTCTTACAAATGAAATGTATATAAAAGTGTTATGTAGAATTTGATATACACCTTCAGAACTTTATACTTAACTATTTTCAAAATCATAAACTCTGAAGCATGGAATAAAGTTTCTCTTAAAAACTTTACATACAGTATTATAAATTATTGTTAAGGTATTTTTATTTATTGTAATGCTTAATGTGGTTGTATAAAATATAAATGCTAAGAGTGAAAATTTCTGAAAATTCAAATAATTTTATTGGATAATTGGACTTCTGCCACACACATACGTCACAGCCCGATGATAGGGCAGACCCATTCATACGTTCATCTACGGATCGCAATTTTGACCTGAACCAGAGAACAACCAGTCTCCAATTCAGTACCTCTAGAGGTATGATTTGTTACAGCAACATGGGGGACTTTGTGACCCGACAGATTTATTGTGCACCAATCACCTTTTACTAAAAAGCCAGCAGGCATCGAACTCACAACGTCTTTGAATAGGCTGTTCCGGCCTATTGTTTCTCTTGCAATATGTCAATGATCCTAACAAATTTAATTGTAGCAAATTTAATGTGTGTAACCTTTTATTTTAATCATTAGGTGTCTATTAATTATTTCCATAAATAATTATATTTCTAATTATTTTTATTTTTTCTCTATAAGACAGGTTTTTGAAAATTGGATTGGAATGTCTTGTTTGGAACAATGAAAATAACTATTCAATTAGTCCTGATTTAAAAATAAAACTAACATTTCATGGTAATTTAATTATATATATTTTTTTATGAATTGAACCATTTATATTTCTAACGATTTTTATTTTATTTTGAGTTCATACCGGTTTTAGCCTCATATAACATCTGAATTCAAGCAAGCTTTTGTTGAAAATTTCCTACATTTGCTTTCTATATATACAGTTTAACAAGATAAAATTAAAGGACTTTATGTTAAATCTTATAACTTGTTAATAGCAAAATTAGATATTTATTTAACTTTTTAATTTGAATATAAAGTTTTCATGCAGCAAATTTTTATTGGAAAAAATGCTCATGTTGAAACCTTTTAATGTAATTTTTGTAGTTTTTTATCTATGAAAATATTATAAATCATTTTTTAACCTACCAATACACATTTTACAAAATCAACCGTCATACTAATTAGTGTGTGTTTGAACATATTGTGGCTTTTTAATGCACAAACAATCTTGCTCCCATATAAAAGGTTAAAAAAAATTTGTTAGAATTCACGAAAACATGGTAGATTGTTTTTCTTTTGCGTTTATTTTCTAAATTCAATTGCACCCTATACCTTGCAGAGATATTGCATTGCTAACTTTAAAATATATATATCTTAGTGATTTGTAATAATAGTTACGAAAGTTTTGTTATGAAAATATCTATGTATAATGCATAGCAATAGTATTAATGCGTACGATTACATAATGTAATGGCATTGTACTCTTTTTGTATTATAAGTAATTTTTATTGAATTGTTCTTTAATCCATGCCATAATGCATTTTACCCAAAATGTATCATTTATATTTCTATTAAAGACATAATAAATTGAACGTTTATTTTATAATTACCAGAAAATTTTAAAGTGTGTGTGAAGTTTAAAATATTTTAGGTAATTTACTTAAAGTTTTGAGCTAAAAACTATTAAAAATTTACACTAGCAAGCTTATAAATCAAAGTTATATGTTATAAACTTCAGAGAAATATAAACAACTATTTTTTATTCATATAGAAATATATATATCACCATTTATACAAAGTAATAGAAACTCATTTTATTTTATATTTTATATCTGTCATTGAACAGCAGATCTGATTTAACATTTACGACTACCAATGTTCGACTCCTTAGTCTTGTAATTTTTAAACCAATCCAAAATACAAGGGGAGATATACTCCTGGAACAAGTATTGGGAGAAATTTGCCTTTGTGGAGGACTTTTTGATGAAACTAACCCGCATTTGCTTTACATGGAGAGGAAAACCTCCCACGGTTAGTCTGACGGCAAGAGTACTCTAACCTATGTGTTCAGTGCAAGCCAGGTGTGGAATTCAAATTGACCCAGCTGGGGTTTGAACCCTGTATAGAAGCTCATTGTAATAAAATAATTGTTCTTAATAGAAACTCAATGTAAAAATAATAATTTTGATTATGTAATAACATTATTCATTAAGCACTTGATATTATTGTTATTGAAAACAAGTGAAGCAGCTCACAATCTTCTTTAGAAATCAGTTCTATTAATCCTGAAATAAACAACCTTTATTCTTAAATTTGATCTTTTTTATGACTATTGACTTAATTGAAATGGAGAGAAAAAATTACATTTTCTGACCTCATTTAGAGTTCCACAAATCCATGCAAATTACTTATGTACTTAAAGGAAAAGTCATATATCTGATAATTTATAATAAATTATCAGATATATGACTTAAAAACATTCATTGTATGTTTTTTCTGTCATATAAATGAACTGTTTTAACATTGCATCGATTAAAAATGAACTAAGACTGCAATGAAACAACATATAATTGAAAAATAAATGAAGGACAGTGCTTCATTGTATATAAGTTTTTTACTTAAATACAAAAGGAGTAATATCAGAAAGACAACTACAGATATTGCTTATGTAACCTTTTAGTTTCTAACTAGCTTGCTTATCAATTTTTGTTGTTGACTTTTTTTAAGATTTTTTATCTTTAACCACATTCTATGATTTAAAAAGGAAAAAAAAAAGTTTTACTTTATAAAAATTACTGAAAATAAAATAGGTTCAATTTATTTATTTATTTTTTTTCAAAACTAACCTGAACCTAACTTAGTTTATATAATACAAGAAACGAATGAAATAAATATAAATATATGACCACCGAAGCCGACGTCTTCAGGGGGTACCGGCCTCGGTAGCCATTAAAAACAAAACCATTTCTATTTGAGGGAGAAGCAAATGCTTAAAAAATCTCCCTCAGTACCCCGATGGTTTTGTATAGAGGTCCAGGAAAAACACAGAGTTACAGTTAAGCAATCTATTAATTTGTCTACGTATTTCTTTCTCCTGACCTTTTCCATTTCATTTTAAACTTCTTCTGCGCATTATAATAGGGGGCGTTGATTTTTCAGTTTTTAGTGTTTTCTTTTCCTCTACTTGCTTTTGAAGTTGATGCTTGACCTGTGACTTAGTGAGTTTTTCTGATGATTTTGATTGATTTTCTTTTCTTAATTTGTTAATTATTTTGAATGTATCTTGTTTTTCCTGGACCTCTATACAAAACCATCGGGGTACTGAGGGAGATTTTTTAAGCATTTGCTTCTCCCTCAAATAGAAATGGTTTTGTTTTTAATGGCTACCGAGGTCGGTACCCCCTGAAGGCGTCGGCTTCGGTAGCCATATATTTATATTTATTTTTATTTCATTCGTTTCTTGTATTGATACTTTTTTCTGAAATTTCTGCTGCTTCTTAGCGCGTTTTTTTCAAGGAAGTTTTATCCTTTTCGAATTTAATTATTTGTGTTTTCTTTCAGCATTAGTTTATATAATGCTGTTTTATTTCTTTACCTTGAATACAAAAATCTTGTTTAAATTTATTACAAAATCTTATTTTTTCCAATTCAAAACTGGCTCAATATTTTTTTTAATATACATTTTAACTTGATTGTTTTTGACATTGAAAGCTCTCTTTAAATAACCACTCTCTGAAATATCTGAATATGAATACATATTTTGTTAAATTTCTTAAACTGAATTTCATCTCATTTCTGTTTTATACACTTACTGTTTGCAAAAAAAAAGTGTTAATGCATATTTTGGTTAAAATAAAATTATAATTATTAATGTAGAAAATACTCTTTACTATCCCAAAAAAATATAATTATCCCATGTTTATTTATTTTCATTTTATAACTGTGTGAATAGTTGTAATATTTTTAACATGCATCGATTTTTAATATGTTCTTTTTCAGTATTAATCTTGAAACTGATTTAATTCTGTTTAACAAATTTCAGTAATGAATTTTTGCTGTAAAGAGAGCTTAGAAAGTACTTCCCATTTGAATGTTTGCTTAAAGTTTCTGCGATTATCAGTAACAGATGCTGAAGTTGGTTCTAAAGGTAAGCCTGACTAAATAGTGCATGAAATACAAGACAAAATAGCTTTTTTTTAAGGTAAAAAATATTTATTTGATTGAGTTGAGCTGCTAGAATTCAATGAAACAGTAAATTTGGCTTAATTTTGGTAATCATAACTCAGAGTGAAATAAAAATTTTTGCAAACATTCAAGCTTAAAGATTTTTTGAAGCTTGAAGAAAAAGTTACTTGTTTTATTTTTATTGTATTGATTTTTTTAAACTAATTTGTATGGATTTTACTTCCACTTTTATCAGTTATTTTAAATAATTGAAATGATGTGTAATTTAAATATGAAAATGTAGTTTTTTATTTCCATACTGAGATATTATGCAAACATTTTTAGTTCACTTTACATATGTATTTTTCTTCTTCTTTTTGTTCACTAACTTCAGATAATATCAAATTTTACGAGCCCCTTCTTTAACTGAAATTGCTTTTCTTAATTGATTAGCTAAATAGTTGCTTAATAACTTTCTTAATTGATAATTTCTTTAATTAATTAGCTTTCTAATATGAAATTATAATAACTTCTGAATTAAAAATATGGAATTAAAATCGTTGCATAATATTGTTTTGTTTTTTTAATAAGCAATTAGTGTATATTTTTTTTAAAAATAAAGCATTGAAGAATATAAGGTATGATAAAAATTTATTTAATAGAAATTTTTTATATGTTCTCTTTTTCCAGCCTGGCATATTATTACAGGAAATGTGAACATTCCAGCTTTTTTTGTGAAGTGCCTTTTTTCAAACAACCAACCAGAAGTTGAAGCTCTTCATTTAATTTTGGTTATTTTAAAACTTGAATTTCAAGCAAATTTAAAAGTAAGTAATTTTATTTGATGTATATTGAAAATAAAAATGAAATATTAAACTGCAAAAACAAAAAAAATTGAAATTTTCTTATTTTTAATATAATTTTATTTATAATTACTATAAAAATATTTATTCATAAATCACCTGTTTTAATTTTTATTGTGTTGAGTCTCTGTTGCAGCTAAATGTTGCTAAGGAATACATTTTATTATTTCATTAAAATAATTTAAATCCTCCATTGAATAATTAGTTTACAGAAGCTCATACTTACTTGGAGAAATACATTTTCAGTTTTTTAGTAAAAAAGATGAAAGTATGTCCTCTTTTTCGTTTCATTTTTTTATTTAAAAAAATAGATTAAAACAGTACATATTATAAAATTTGTTAAAGCTTGATGAAGATAAAGAAAAGCATTTTAATTATGAAAAGTTCTTTCTTTTAGAATAATTTTGCAATAACTTTTATCTTTGTGTAAATATTGTAAATTTCAAACAATGGCTTCCTTTTTTTGCAATGAACTTTATTTGTATTTTAGTTTAAAAAGCATAATTTAATAATTATTATTTAAAAACTATTTTTAAAAAATTATTTAAAATTTTTTTTTAATTTGTGGCTCAAAAACAATGATTTTTAAAAATATTTTAAGAATTATGATAATTGAAATTTTGTGAAAATTATATGAAGAGAAAATTTTTTCTCCTTACTGTTGACCTTAAATGCTTGAGTATCAGGTGACATTTATTCATATTACAAATTTACTTCTGAATAATTTTAAATTTCACGCTGCTTCAAAGTTTGTTGAAAATTACTGAGCATTCAGAAAAAAAATTATCTGAACAAATTTTTATTTATTGTTTTGAAAAATGTTTAAAATAGTGTAATTTGGGATTAAATCCAGTATAATATCTACTAGTTTTAGACTATTGGTATCTCTTTGTTGTTTATTTAAATCATGAAATTTTTGAAGAATACTATCATTTAACATTTTTGTCATAACTAAAATGATGGTAATTTTTTGAAGTATGTTTAATTTTATTATAAGTTTATGCATTTTAATAAATTCATAATTTATCATATTTGCAGACTTAGAGATCTTATAAAGCAGCTTAAAAAAATCAAGTAGTCCAAAGAATTTTTGTTTAACTAACTATTGGCATCATTTATACTTACTCTAATTTTTATTAGAAATTCAAAAAGCTTTTTAAAAATTAAAAAAAATCTAACATGTTTTGTTACTTCTTTAAGAACCATTTTTTAATTTTTAAAACAGTTTTACACTTATGAAAGTTACTAAAAATTGGATAAAGTTTAAGTGACACCAAGAGTTACTTAAAGAAAAATTATTAGATTTTCTTTTCTTTTAATTTAGTTATAGACATTCAAAGTTTGAAAATATGACATTCGTAAATAGTAGAATAACCTTCTTACAAATGTTATTAAAAGTTTAAGTGTTTTACTTACAGTGTTCTACACACGTTACTTTATCTTTAACTCACATTTTAAAATGGATGAATAATTCAAGTATGAAATTGCTTAGTTTGGAAATAATATATCAGCTACTATTGATGGACTTAAAATCTCACTTCGTCAAACTTGCTTCAACTGAAATATTATCAACAAAGTTTTCTTTACAAAGAAATGATTTCAGATTGTTAGCATTCTCCATTGAAAATGCTTTAATGCTGGTAAATATTAATTTATATTTTTCACTTTAATTAATAAACAATTTTCGTTGCCATTTTTTGTTTTTGTTAATCAATATTTGCCACATCATAATTAATTATAAACCTGTCTAACTTTCTGGAAGAAATGCAACAGAACACTATTTGATAACATCTTAGTAATCTCTCTCCCTCTCCCTTGTTTAATATCAAAAAACAATTATCAGTTTAAGAAAGATTTGACAAGTTTATTAGTTTAAAAAATAGATTAAAGTCTTTTATGTAGACTGTATTTGCATATTTGTAGGTAAAAAAAATGAAAATTTCATAAAATATATGATGAAGTAATAATATCAGATTATGCAGTAATAAACAGTTGTTGAAATATAAAACCATCAGCAATAATTCATCAGTAAAACAGATGTGTAGATAGGATTTAAAGCCCTCAGAGATAAACTCAGCTTTTGTGCCCCTTTCAGAAAACTATCTGACTTATGGGGGCTTTTTGGGACCATTTTAAGTTTTAGATTACCTAAAAACTGAAATCAAGTGAACTTGGCATTGAATTATTAAATTAACATTGAATAAGATTTTGAAGCTTTAAGTAATGTTTTATGAAGACAAAATCCATAAATTTTAGTTTGATTTCTTTTAAAATTTAGCAGTGTAAGTTATTTATATGGTTTCTGTTGCACTCAGATATTTTCGATTGATTAATTGATTGGCATTTCTAAGGGCGTTTTTTATTTAATAAGTCACCGATTTGACAAAATAATTTTTTAAAAAAAACTAACAGTAATATTGATAGACAGTTAGCTGAATTTTTAAGTAAATAAAAAAAATTTAGTCACACAGCCATTAAGTTGTAAATGGAATTAGGGATATTTAAAAGAGAAAAAAAAATTCTGGAATTTCTCGCATCTCTAAAGCTGCGCTTGAGGACAGATGTTCCTTTTTGCCCCCACTAGCTATGCCACTGCAGCTAGGAGAGTGAAAAAACCTACTTTTACCTAATTCATTTTAATTTTTGCATACCTTTCTGTGTTAATTTTTAATTTAACTGTGTTAATTTAGGCTTAATTTTCTTTTAGGGTAATCCAATGATTGATAATGTTGCTTTGTCAAGTTATACTAAGCTGATTGAGTTTATTGAGAAAACTGATCCCTCTCTTGGCAAGTGTATTTAATTTTATTATATGTTTATTGATTAGTTCCTCTTTTATTGGACTATTTCATTCTTATTATGCTTTATCAATAAATCTTTAACTCATAAATAACATTTTTAATTAAAACAAATGCATGTGTTGAGCGAGGTATACCAAAAACATTTATATGTATAAATATTTTAGAACATATTTTTGAATTGAAATTTATTTAAAAACATTTCTAAAAGCCATTTTAAACAAATATTAAAGCACAGAAAAATACTTAATTCTAATTTTTTTTTAAAATCAAAACTTAAGATTAAAATATCCCTTTAAAATGTTACACTATTTTTTTATTTATTTTTTATTATAAAATAAGTTTTATCAAAAAAGTTGTTTAAAAACATTGCTTTGCCAGAATGCTTCACTAGCTAGCCAAAATTTGAAAGAAAGTAATACTCCTTTCTCATAAAAATAAGATTGTAAATTTCTCCATAACTTTAAGACAAGTTAGGACATGAAATAGTCAGTGAAAATTCATCTGCTAGAATGCTTTGAACGTTTTATTTTTAGGTATATTTTCTTTCAAACAATGACTTCAGTTATGTACCATAAAAAAAATTCTGTTAAGTTTTAAAGAATACAAATCATTTCATTTTCACATTTTAATTCTCATTATGTTATTGTACTATATATTATTTATTCTAAAATTTTTGTATGTCAACAACTTCTTCACACTGTAATAGCCAGTTGAAGAAAATTTGTGGTCCAGTATGTGTGTGTACAAAGAGTTTTTAGTTTTATACAGGTCTGCTTGTAATCCAAAGAATAGAAATTGGAACTAGATAGACACACTTCAGCAAAAATGAAATAATATAAATAGTATAATATAATATTCCCTAAGAGATTTTGCCTTTCAATCTAAAACAGCTGTTTCAAAAAATAAAGTTCTAATCTCGGAACAATATTGTAAATATCTTAAAAACAGGTTTATGAACTGCATTATAGGTTTTTAAACTTTTTTTTCATACAAATACAGTTATGTGTCATCATACTATGATGCATTATTTTAGTGGTTTGAACTTTAATCTGCAATAAATTTTCCTCTATTGCTGCTGCTTATTTGCCCCATCTTAGTGATTTTCGCCAAAATTTATGGAGCCCTTAAATCGGTATCATTAGCATTAATGCCCAACTGGGTATGTAAGTATTTAAGCAGAAATGTTGAAGGATAGTGAGGCAGAATGTAAGCTTGCTAAGAATGACTAATGCTTTTATGAATCCTAATTCAAGCTCTAATCTATTCATACTCCCATGTTCTAATCTATCCTAGCATAAATTTGTTGTCAAATTTGCTTCTAGCATATTTTACTGGTTTCTTATACACTGCTCAAAAAAGTTAGGGAATATTATAATTTTGATTATAAACTGCTTATAAGGAGAGGATATATTTATGAAGTATAGGTGCAAAAAAGGAGAAAAGAAAATGAAGTCTTTGAATAATAATTCAATTTTACTGTCGACAAAATTATTTTTATAAAATTGATTATCAGTAAATAGTATAGGTGTCCAAAGCAATGTCACACCCCTACTAAAAATGGAATTAATGAGTTTATGGAAGAGTGAATGGGGTATTCTCTCCCGCTCTTGCGAATGATTCTGCTGATCATTTTTTAATTCTTATCTAATATTCATAGTTTTTTGTCCTAGACAAAATCTTTACAATCCCAACATTGTAAATATTATACCTGGTCTATTTAATTTGTTTTTAAAGTTTTAATTACATGGTTGTGTTGTAAACTCTCAATATTACTTAATTATTTGAGGCTGTCCTAGTTATGCATGTTAACTGTCCAAAATGAATATTCCATTAATAATTTTGTAAAAATTTGTCTCAAAACCAATATTTTCATAAAATTGCAAACAACTATAAAATAGGTTATTAATTCCATAATGTATTTGAAAATTCTTATAATAAAAATTGTTTTCCATAATGTATTTGAAAATTCTTATAATAAAAATTGTTTATGCTTCAGAAAAAAGAATTGAAAATTCTTTATTTATTTCAGTGCACCATATTTTACTTAGACCCTGGTTGAAAATTCTTTTAGAGTCAAAATTAGAAAACATTGAAAAATACTGGTTTTTATTTGAAAAGGTATATTTTTACTTGATTATTTTTTTTTTTTTTACTTATTAAAAGTAGGAATGTATGATTATACTTTTGATAAGTTTAATCAGTTTTTTTAATTCTATTTAATTGACCAGGTTACGTTCTGCAATGGAGAGAATGTTAAAGTTAAGAAATGTAATAGTGCACGAGTATTAAATTGAAATTGTGTTTTGAACCAAGTGAATATTGTCAACGTAATTATGTGAAAAACTAATTTTTGCAAATTTCAGTATTATCAAACTTAATTCCGTTTTTTTAATGTGCATATAATTATTTTAGTGTGTCATCATAAATTAAATCCTGTTAAGTTTTTTGAGAGTACGTAGCCAGGAATATGATTCAAAAAAATAAAAAATTCAGTTGTTTTTCTAAACTTTATATGCCATAAAAAGTTTATATTTTTTTGCTCATGCACATTGTCCTATTCTAGTATGACTATTTGACTATCTAGTATGACTATCTTAAATATTTATTCATTATGAAAGTTATTATCTAGTATTAATTCTGCATAAGAAAATAAGCTTAGACTAAAAGAAGATAATTCATTTCATATCCTTTTAACAAAGTATTATTGAAAGCTTAGTGTAAAGAAATATGACAAGTATCTGATTACATGAAGAAGATAAGATATATAAAATAGCTATTATTTGCATTCATTAATCTATGTAAAGCTTCTATAATAGCATTTTTCTAAAATTTGCAGAATTAAAAATTTACATAGATTTCACTTAACCTATGCCTTATTCTTCTTTACTTATGTAATTCAGCTGCTAATTCTTATAGATTTTTCTGTTATTTCTTTTAACATTATATCTGAACAACTTTGGTTGAATTTTGTTAATTTATTCTGGTAATTTTTCTTTGTAAGTGGATTTTTGTGATCTAGAAAATATATGTTTCTATGGGGGAGTAAGACAAAGTTAACAAACTTATCATTAAATTTTCAATTTTAGATTTTTTTAAACAACTTAACCTAGTATAAGGCCTTAAACAGCAATTAAAAGATTTAATTAACTAAGTGATTCTCATTTTTTTATTATAAAAAATCACTTAGTAATAACATAAGTGCAGTAACATAGTGCTTAGTAATAACATAAGTGGTGTAATTTCAAATAATTTAATTTTATTGCAGTGCTACAGTTTGAATGAAGAAAATCTTACTCTGATTACGATTTTTCAACAGTTTGCTGAAAGAATACCGAGCATTTATCAAGAATTAAATAAGCAAAAAACTAAAAGTATCGAAAAGGTAATGTTTTATTAATTTAATGATAATGTCTCATTATGTATAACATACATTATCTTTAATTTGACTCTATTTTTTTCTTAAGTGTAGTTTCACATTTTAGTCTTTTTCCCCCTTATTAGCTATACAATGGTGTCTATAAAAAATACATTCCTACCGATCTTAAACAGGAACTAAGAAGAATTGTAAATACTGCTGATGACTCCAATTCTCAATCTATTCCAGAAAAACCCATTGACATTGTTTCACAAGTTGAGAGTATTGTAAATAATTACATTACAAATGAAATGTAAAAAAATTATTTCCAAATTTTTTATACTATTTTTAATACGACATTTTAATTGTAAACTATACATTAATGCTCAATAAACTAAAGTTTTTGTGTTTATCATAAAAAGTTTAAAATAAAAATGTTCAATAAAAATTTTGTGTTTTATTATTTTCCTTTGATAACATATTAAAATTTGCTCAACATAGAAGGGGGGGGGGGGGAGCAGAATAAAAAGAAAAGGTGGTAAATTTTATTGTCCTGGAAATTTGCCGACTTGAACATTTTGCACGAAATATAAATGCAATAATTTCTCAAGCCTCAAAACTAGCAGAAAACTGGAACTGTTTTAAAAAAAAAAAACTTTTATTTTTTAAACTCAAGTTATTTGTTCAAACTTATCCATCAGTTTGTCATTCAATTTACTGTATGTAAAAAAATAATTATTTAAATTTAAAGAACAATTGTTAATTTGCCAATTAAGTTGTATCATTATAAAGCTGTCGTAATTTTTACACAAATTGGATTTAATACTTTTTTCTAATGTATAAAATAAATCCGTTAAAAAAAATTTTATGTTTATACAGAGAAAGTACGATTTTGTGTCTGATATCATAACTTAAAATACCATCTGTACTAATTAATTAGCATATTTGAGGTCACGAACCATTAAGAATGAGCCCTAAAACGTTAAGATCCCATCATTAGATCCAAGTTAACCAGGATAGTCCTTTTTTGGTGCATTGAATATTATTTACGTAAAATTATTCTAAGCATATAAAATGCAAGGAAATTTATATTTAGTTAATAATCTCTGTAAAATCAGAGAAACGTAAACTTCTAAATTTTTGTAGCCACCCTGTTGTTGAAGGCTATTATAATAAATAACACTATTTACAATAAAACTATTTAGTAGCTCTATTACGGTTAACTATAAAAGAGTAAATGGATTTGACGCTTTTTACAACATCCAACCCAGGTAGGCATATTTCATTCTCTTATGAAAAATTATTTTATTTATTTTGGAACTTGTCATACATTTAATTCCTTCAAAATAATGAGAATAAGCACAGTGTTCACATTTAATATCTGTTTATTTAGGTAACTTATCTTCCTTTTGTGCTTATTTTCATGATATAATATTATGATATCCCCACATATTAATGCATCTATTAATCAAATTGAGTTTAAATAATTCCCATCATTTAAGAGAATTTTAAACAAAAGATCTAATCATTAACTACCTGTAAACCTTGAAATAAAATTAAAAACTTCAAATTTCAAAAAATCAATCAAATTTCTCATTAAAATAACTGAATTTAAAAAAAATTAAACAGTACTGTAAATAAGTTTTAAAGTTTCAATAAGCTTTTTCCTTTCTAAAATATAGTGTGTCCCAACTAATTAAAGCCACTAAGCTAAATAATAATTTGCCGATAAAGAAAAAGTGTGAACCAAACATATATTTGAAGGTCTACATCTAAACACATATTTACAAGGAGTAACTTCCTACTGCATCTGGTCAATCAAGAAAAAATATCAAATAAGTTAAAAACGAAAAATGTCCCATGGAAATAAAGCCACTTCTGATTATAGTTAATACATTCGTCATGTTTATATATGACTTGAAGTATATGATGTTGTGCAACCATTTACTCAGGTCTTAACGTTGTCCTTAAATTCCTGAAAAAGTCCTTAATTTTTAAAAAATTCTACAAATCTTCTGAAATTTTATGATTTTTCTAAACTTTTGTTGACAGAAAATGTAAGCTGACAGAAAAAGTAAACATTATATTTCTTACAAAGAATTGAAAAAAGTGTAAATTTAGAAGGAAAAAAAATATTAATTTCGTTTTATTCCAAGAAACAAGATAAGATTGTGAAATGCGCTCCACCTCTACATTGTTACCAACAATTACCCCTGTTTTGGTGCCATAAAAGCATTATTTTTTCCCAGGGCTAAAGAGAAGGGTTGGTTCATTCTTTACTCAAAGCTAAAGCTGCGATTTCCCACCTCATGACGTCACGCCACAAACAATATCAATGGTTCACTTGAAATTTATCGTTAAGTATAATGTACATCACTTATAATCATTTTTATGCTTCATAACATCCCATTTATTAGTTAATTTGGAATAAAACTTGTTTAATTATAGAAAATTGATTTTACAATTGAATAAAATACTAAACAGATATTGTATCAAAAAAATGCTCAAAATTCTAACAAATTATTCAAAATAAAATTCAGAAAAATAAACATCACATTCCACAATCAATTAATGGTGGCAATGGTGGTCCCACAAACCACTGATTATTATTTCATAGTGGTGTCCAAGGAGGGATTTAGTCGTCTCAGACCAGTGAACTCGTGATCTCGAACGCTGATACCAAAAATGACTCAACAGAGGTTAAAAAAAATAACTATAAAATTTAATTACTGAAAAGGTTTGTTTTTAAAAATTAATTAACTAAGTCATTTTAAAATCATAACTATAGATGTACCAATGAAAAAAACTTGGTTTTATAAAAAAATTACGCTACTACAATTTTTTTTTTTTTAAAGTATAAATACAAATTATAATGTAGTTTCATTATTAAAAATGATCAATAGATTTAGAACTTGGTCATTTCAAATTTAAAAAATGAAATCTGTTTTTTTTTTTTAATGCCAACTAAAAGTTCTATGCTATTACATGAAGATGTATGGACATAACAGATGTATTGTAAAAGACGAATAACATTTTTTACAGGTTTTCTGTGCAGTGGCCAATCTGAGGATATTGTGCGCAGCAGAGAAAATCTGTCTGGCTGGTACTTTTAAAATATAGTTCCAATTCTTTTTACACAGCTTTATACCATCCTTGCCAGATATATGGGGATGATGTTTCCTTTTGCCTTACTTGCAAGATAAGCGAAAGGAGACTTACCTCCCTCTTTTCCAGCAGATGAAAGCTAAAGCAAGAGACATTGGCCTCAATTTTGCACCTGCCTGTAGTATGCTAGATTTTGAAGTGGGAGTAATGGCAGCCCTAAATGAAGAATTTAAAGACATTTCAATCAAGGGCTGCTATAAAAAAAAATACTTCCACTTTGCTCAAAGTGTTTGGAGAAAGGTAAATGTAACCTGTTATAAAATTTTATTTTTTGTTATCAGCTTTAAAGTGTATACAGTACAAGATCTATGATTTATAATAAAACATTAACTTTATTGGTGTCAATACTGAGGAAATTACAGTTAAGAAATTGCTGTAACTAAGCAAAAACTTGTCACTTAGTTGTATTATTTATTTAATTATTGGCTAAAAGGTTTAGTTCTAATACTACGGAAATTTTATTCTTTTGTTGTTAAAATTAATAAAAAAATCAAGTGAATATATTTAATTATTAATATTTTAAAAAATGTAGGGTATTTTAAGACTAATCTGACCCGGAAGAATATTCCTGCCATATTTAATAGGTAAGTTTAATGTGTGAAATAAGCTTTATAACACTCAAAGCAAAGCTTCGATTTTAACTAATTTATACCTTTTTAAAATTAATCGTCAAACACCTCAAGTATTTAAAAAATTATAAAAAAATTTTCCTAAAAAAATTGCCAATTTGACAGGACTTTTCCAACCAGATGAAGTTTATAGATGAAAGAACAATTTTTATCATTAAGTGAACTTGCAATAAATATAATTTTGCACTGTTCATATATATTTTTATTATGTGTGTCCAATCACATTACAGTTTTTAGCTGAAACCATAAGTTTATTTTATCACAATTTTTAAAAAAAACCAACTTGTTTTTTAATTAAAGATATATTTTTCTAATAAAAAGAGTATTATTGAAATAAAATTCTAGAATATTTCATTCTACTTCACTTAACTAATATTCTGTTTTGACTCTTAACAGTTTATGTCTCTACATTTAAATAAAAAAGGCTTTTGTGTAATTTTAGCCCTTTTTTTAAGCCTGGCTTAAATACCACAACCTTGTTAGACATTTTGTGGTATAGTTAATTAAAAAAATAGTCAGTATATTAGTTAAATAATTATAGAAACACTTAAGATGGTTGTCTATGAAAAAAACTAGCAAATAATCACTTAATTCATCTTTAATAAATTCCTTTAGGTGCAAAATTTAGAACAATATTTTTCATTTTAAGAGCATTTAGCTAGTGGATCTCTTTTTTTTTCTTCTTACAAACTAGCTTAAGTTTCGCATCAAATTTCATTATTTTAAGTATTCTTAACTAACACATGTTAACATAGTTTTTTGAGATATAAGAAATTTTTATAAGAACTTTTATTAGGATTTCAACATCCTAGTTCTGGTAATGATCTCTAGTAGATTTAGTTTTCCAGTTATGTAAATAATTTATGAACACAGAAAAAGCATATAAAGTAAATCCTGGTTATTTTATCATTTAAGAAACCCATTTTTTTCTAAATTTTAAATACTCTTAATTAGGGTGACCAGACGTCCCCGATTTCCGGGGATTGTCCCCGGCGAGGACCTCGTGTCCCCGGTCGGTTTTGTCCCCGGTTATAAAATTAAAAAATTTTGTGTAAAATATTTTATAAAAATATGTTATATGCAATTTTTATTTTCTCAAAAATTTTCATACAAATTAATGTAAGCATTGAAAATTAAATGTAAACTAGTTTTTAAGAACGCACTATATCGTATACTACAGAAATTTTGGAGCACATAACTTTAATATCTAGTTATGTTTACATTTTTACTAGGCTGTACGCCAGACATGTTTATATAAGAAAAGAAGTTTAAAACAAGACGTAACATGAATATTAGTTGCTGCTTTTAAAACAATTAATATCTTGGGTTACATAAACTGCCAATATTAGCTAATTTCCACTAAAAACAACAACAATTACTACATTTCCGTTTTATTTTAGAAAAATA